AGTATATTAAATGTAATTTGTATTTTCTTATTTGATGTTATAATAATGAGCCAGAAAAGTACAAATTCTACCTCTAACAGTGTTTTCAAAATAACAACAAAGATTCTTTTAAAAAAGTTCTGTAAATAAGTATTCTTAGCTGATGCTGAAAGAAATACAGCTCAATGTAAAAATAAGTTGGACAAATATACGTCACGCTTACCTGTTTGGTTTGAGGTTAAATATAATGCTTACCTTACTGATTGAATAAAAGTAGAGAGAATATGAGAAAAAACAGTGTTTTTGGTTTTTTTATTATTTTTTTAAATTAGATCATTTACTTTTTTTTGAAACAGAGGTTAACCCCCTTCTAAAATATGCTCTGTGATCATAACAAATTTGCTCTTTTAGTAGGAAACATTCTTTACCCTTGGGATCAGATTCTTTCCCAAGTCAATTCCTTGTTCAATTAAACTGCTCTGCCAGCCACTCAGGGAGTTTGGTACAACAGCCAAACACACATTTTGCCATACAACTCCTTCTCTAAATTCTCTACCTCTCTTTCTTTGTGATTATTAAAAAATATAGGGTTATATCAGAAATTTATAATTTCATGTGACTTATGATATACACTAATATGGTTTAAAATGCAAATGTGTAGTGTCTTCAATTAGAGAGGAGCTTATTTCTCTGTCATTAAAAATGCAGAAGAAATAAATCTAGGACTGTTGCAGCTATAATGTCATCTTCAACATGACTCACTCTTTCTTCTGCATATTCACGTTAGCCAGGCAGGGCTCGTCATCTCCCAGACCACAGAAAGGGGTGAGGGAGCAGGCCACAATCTATAAATTAGAGTAAAATACATCAAAACTTAAAACCTTCGTGTTCTAAAGTAAACCATTGAGAAAGCGAAAGACAAGACACAGAAAATGTTTGTATATCATATATTTGGTAAAGAATTTGTATGCAGAATATATATAGAATCCTTCCAGCCTAGTAGTAAAAGACGACCCCATTAAAGGTATGCAATAGATTTGAATAGATGTGACAACAAAACAAGATCACAAGCATACATACAAGAATAATGAAAATCACAGCTTGTTATGGAAAACCCAATTAAAACCAGAATGTAATACACCTTCACACTCACCGGAATGACTATAATTAAAAAGACAGGCAAGAACAAGAATTGGGAAAATGTAGTACAGAGAACATATTTGAAAATATAATTTTATTAATTAACTTTTATTTCTAATTTATTACAAGCTGCATTCTTGAGTATCTCCACTCTTCTTTGGCATCAATTTCTCTGTCTATAAAATGTAATAATGCCCATCTCATTAATTATGTTATAGCAATATTATGAAAATACTGTCATGATCTGGGATCCAAAGTGTCTTGTTGGAAAATGCAAGAATGTTGAAGAAGGATTTGATGAAATCACTGTTTCATAGAATGACGGCTACCCATTTAAACAATGACATTTTAAAATTTAAACAATGTTAATGTAAATAATTTTATAACAATTTTCACATTTCCCTGCCTTCTTAACCCTTTTGGTGGAGTGCATTGTGCCCTGTCTTCTCACGATGTGCATGAACAAATATCTGCTACTTCCCTGGACTTCAGAGCCTACTGCTGTTTGTAGACGTGGAACATAGTTTAATGTTATACTAAATTCCACAGATCACTTATTTTCTTATGTTTCTTTTCTCTTCTTGCTTCTCATCAATTGATTTCCAATTTCTAGACATGTTTTCTAATTAACTCATTTCATTTTACTCTACTGTTTTTCATTGTCATCTATCATTGTACTGTCATCATTTATAAACTACATTCCCAAGGAAAGATGTTTTTTTCTCTAAGAAATGATCTCTCCATAGAGTCATTGCTAGGTGTAACTGGATACATAATTTTAATTAATGTCCTTAACAACCTGGTTTTCAAAATGGCCATGACATCTCTGTGCAAATGAATGATGTGTTTTCCAGCATGCGATGTAAAAGAGGCCTTATTACAGTTGAATCTATTTCATCAATCCTCGTCAAATGTTCTTACTGAAAAGGGACATTTCACAATAAAATATAGAATTCCCAAAAGACTGATTTTCTGTTTGTGGACACATATATAAGTGTATCACTAAAGACAGACATGTGTCTTTACATTATAAGTAATTTTAAATTTGGAAATAATTACCAATGTATAGGCAGATAAATTGAGTTTAAGATAAATAGTTGTTGAAATTTTATTAAAATATATAAGAAATCAATCCCTGTAAATAAATTCATTTTTAGGTGATGTAAATTATTTACATTGCAATTTCCTCAGTGCCATTATCACATCCTTGTTCTCTAGACTGTATTATACATCATGTGGTTAAACAAGAGAGTCACAATAGTGTTGAAAAAAGAAAGCACTTTGTCAGTTCCTGCTGAGTCCTGGGTCTTGGGTCTTAAATACGTGGTGATGGCTGATCCAAAGAACAATTATAAGATGAGCTAAGCAGGTGGAACAAGCTTTGGCCCCACTTGTGGCTGATGGTAATGTAAGGGTTGGAGTGATGATTTTGCCATAGGAGACAAGTATCAACAGAAATGGAATCATGATCAACAACACAGCAACTATGTAGACCATCATTTCATTCACAAGGTGTCCCCACAGGCCAGCTGGAGTATTGGGAGGATGTCACAGAAGAAGTGGCTGATGGGTTAGAACTCCTCTGTCCCTCTTTCCATTCATTGGGGCCAGGCCAAGAGTAAGAGGAGTGACACCCCTCAGGGACACCATTTACGAGGCACTCACTTAGTTTCAAGGCTGGCTCTGCACTTCACAACCCTGCAAGTGTGTGCCTCCTTAGATATTGCACCCCAGGTACCTCTTGACTGAGATCAGTCCCAGCCCTGTCTTTCATTTCTCCATCCTGGAGAATTTGAAACTTGTGCACCAAACATGGTATAAATATAGTGTCATGTATAGGGAATATAGTCCTACCAAGAATGACTGGATTAGAATTATGGCCGCACTACCAGCTAGCTGTGTGACCTCATGCAAGTTACTTAGTCCTCCTGTGCCATAGTTCATTTGAGTTTAAAATTCACTGACAAATGTATAACCACTTGGGATTTTTAGATGAATTAGTTCGTTTAATGAATCCAAAACAACTGGAATGTCCTGGCATTTATAAAAACATCTGTAAATGTTAGCAATTATTGTTGCCATTGCTGCCATTACTTTCTCCATCATAACATAATCTTCATCATTACTTTTATGATCATCATTACAATCTTCATTATAACCACATGTAAATATCATAGATGTATGAAACTTTAAAATGAAAGGAATATATACAAATATGCTTCATGAATAAAATATATAAGTAAATAAATGTAGTAAATCATGTTAGATTCTAGATGATGTAATGGGTTGATGAAGTGGAACACAGAGCAGGAGCTAACACTGTCTTATCCACAGGTGTTCAATTATAACTAAAACTACAGAACTGCATAAGTGTCAAATAAACTGCTAACAGAAGTTCCTAGAGACGGATGTACTAAATAATCTGTTAATGGGAGTTGCTGATTTGAGAATCTGGAATTGGCAGGATGGGCATTAATGTTCTGCTGACAGGTGCTCACTTTCCCTGATGATACCATTTCAAAAGTTTAATAATTTCAAACACATTAGTATGGGTTAAAGACATGGGGGCTTAGACACCCTAATGTAAATGCAAGTGTGTGGGCTTTGGTTATCCAGATAATAAGTTTTAACAATATTTTCCACTTTTAAACTCATAGATGAGCTCTTTTAAAAATATGAATTGTCGGAGCCAGGCAAATGGCGCGATGGTTAAGAGCTGGCTTGGGACCAGAGGGCCCCAGTTCAGATCCCACATATGAGGGCCAGTGACACTGCCCTCTACAGCTAAGATGCTGAACAACAGCTCAACCTGGAGCTGGGCTGCCGTGAGTCGCCGGCGACGGCATAGGCTGCAGCCCCTGTGGTAGTGGGTTGCCATGGGCTACCGTGTGTAGCCAGCAGCCAGCAGGAGCGGCCAGCAGCCACAGTGAGTGGCCGTCCAGAAGCCGGCGACTGATCTGCCTCGCCCGGGAAGAGCACAGTGATGGTGCCAACTTGGGCCAGTGAAGCAACGTCCTCCACAACTAGATTGAAGAACAAAACGATAGCAAGTTGTCTGTTCCCCTTCCCCCAATTCCCCAGCACTGTTCCCATCCTCCCAATTCCTCAATAAAAATCTTTAAAAAAAAAAAAAGAATTGTCATGGGAGTAGCCGTTTGAAGCACAAGTTATGAAAGAGATTAAATAACTTGAAGTAAATAACTTTGGGGTCATAATTGCTAAGTACAACATAGAAATATGGGCAAAAGAAACTGGTTGAACATGTAAGCATGTTTTGTTGTATCATGTGTTTTTGCAGGAAGTTACTAGGAAGAGACCTAAGTTCATGTAAGCTTTTCTTTAGGTATTATGATTGGAGTAATTTCACATGGATGTATAGTAGGTTAAATAAATAGGCTCCCGATGTTTACTGATGCAGTAAATTCTTTAGATTTTGCCGGGATTCTGAGGTAGGGAATGGCAATACTCATTTATCCATTCACTCATTTAATTACACATCCAAACATTCATTAATCAACTACTATTGGCCAGAATGAAAGAACACTAAGAAATACAAGTGTGAAGATGTAGGAAATTACTTAGGTAAATAGTCTTGGACTCTTCTGTAGATTTAAAAGAATAATAATAACATTCAATTGTTTTAGTTTTTATATGGAATATATATGATGCACATAATTATATTATTCATGAGGCAGAATTCTTCTTCTTTAGGCATAGAGCACTGAAGGTACATAAATTGGCCTTGTATATATCCAGGCACAGCAAATTCTATGTGAGTATTTTAAATACATCGTAAAAATGCATCATAAGGAAGTGGTTAACATCTTAAAAGGGGATTATAGAGATTTGAAAATTTTCTCTGATAACTGTGTGGCAAGCAGTTACAAACAATTAAAATTACACTCATCCCATTGTTTTTTACGTAATAATTTTCTCAGGGCTGCAATAACATCCTTGTTCCTAAGGCTGTATATCATGGGATTAAACATGGGAGTGACTATGGTATAGAAAAGAGACAGCAGTTTGTCCATTCCTGCAGAATGACTGGATTTCGGCTGTAGGTAGGTGATGGTAGCAGATCCAAAGAATAAAAGCACAACTACCAGGTGGGAAGAACATGTGGAAAAGACTTTGGTCCGTCCTCTGGCTGTGGGCAACCTCAGAATGGTGAAAATGATTTTGCTGTAAGAGGCAAGAATCAACACAAAAGGGACTGCAACGATAAAGATAGCTAGCACATAGAGTGTCACCTCATGTACAGAAGTGTCCCCACAGGCTAGCTTGAGAATGGGGGGTATGTCACAGAAGAAGTGGTTAATTTGATTGCAATTGCAGAAATGCAGAGAGAAAGTCTGGCATGTCTGTCCTATCTGGACTGGGATTCCAATGATCCAGGAGCCAACAGCTAGTTGGATACACATCTTGTGGTTCATGAGGAGAGGATAGTGCAGAGGGTTACAAATGGCGACGTAGCGGTCATAGGCCATCACCACCAGGAGGAAACATTCAGTGGCTCCCAGCATAAGGACAAAGCACATTTGGGTGGCACAGTCCAGTATAGAAATGCTTCTATCCTGAGTCCAAAGGTCCACCAGAATCCTAGGGAGTGTGACGGACACGTAACAGATTTCTAAAAAGGAAAAATTTGCCAGGAAAAAATACATGGGTTTCTGTAATGCGACGTCCAGCCTGGTTATGATTATTATGAGGCTATTTCCAATTAAGATTATCATGTACATGATGGAGAACACCACAAAGAGTAACCCTTGGAGCTGCGGAAGGTCAGAAAACCCCAGGAGTACAAATTGCATTACTGTGGAAGCATTGTCTTCTGCTTTCAAACTCTCTTGATATTTCATCTGCGCAATGATTTAATCAGAAGTACAAGTTACGCCACTTCTTTGGCTTTTGTTTTCTTATTTATAAAATGAGAAAGTCAAGCCTTCTGATTTTTCAATTGCATATGAAAACAAAACCTGCAATTGCCATGTGCTCTAAACTGTGTGCAGACGTGCATTTTTCATTATTATTAAATGTATGTGTAAAAAAAATAAATCCTCTTTTTCTTTTTGTTTCTGCAATGGATTATTACATTTTTAAAAATTATTTTCATGAGCTATATGATTATAATTTTACCATTCACCCTGACACCCAAAAATGCAAAATTTGAATTAATGTTTAATCATGACAATCGTCCCTGGCATGTCTTTCTCCTCACCTTTCACTTCTGTGTTGAATATTCACAATTCAATATTACTTTAACTACAGAAATAATATATTGTAAGTCATCTAAAATTGTGTTTAGGAATGAATACAGGTAATTTTTTAAAGTGATGGCTTTCCAATGGTATTTCCAAAATATTGTTCAGCTTTGATATTGTGCATATTTAAGCGATTTTAGTACAAAAAAATGATAAGCTGGCCAATAAATATTATGAGGTGTTAATTAGTCATTAATATTGTACATTTCAATGTAAGATCTACGAAATCAGCACTCATAACTTTTATTCATATTTTGCAACAGGAAGAAAGGGAACTCTATTTCTGTCCAGGGAAGTTCAAGAAGCAAGATGAAGACTCATCTAGCATTTATCTTTAAGAAAACAATTCTGACTAAAATATGTACCCCACACATACTCATTCTATGAAACAGACATCAACCCTAAATCAATTATGAGGTTTTCCTAAATCACCCACATTCTCCCTCATTGCTGCCATTCTGCTGAACTCATTGAATGCATTCTGTCTTTTGCTTGCAGGCATGTGTGAGTTCATGCATGTGAGCGTGTGGGTGTGATTGCCCATCGTTATTATATACTTTTCTTATGGATGTAACTAGATTATAAGCTTCCAATATTCTATATATCTTTCTATGAAATGCCATGGATATTTGTTCTACAAAATATGATTTCTTAAGTTTTTGTTAACCCTTTATTACAAGTCACATTCTTATAGAAGTATATGTTGACTTAAGTGAAAAATTAACTACTTCTTAAATAAATTACAATTCAGTTAAATTGGTTGCTTCTTTGGAATGGTCCCCAAGGTGTAAGCACGGGTTCCTACTCAAAATGCTGAACCTCCACTCCCTCTCTCTCCTGGTGTAGAACAAGCACCTCTCTCTCTCTCTCTCTCTCTCTCTCTCTCTCTCTCTCTCTCTCTCTCTTCTCTCAGAATTACACTCTTTTCATTCACTGTTAGGATCAGAGGCACATTACTTCATTGTTTTCAGTATGTGCTGGATAACTTCCATATTATGTGTTCACTAATTTGACAGTTAATAGAGACCAACTCTCCACAAAGAAGAGACACACAACCATATTCTAGGGTGTTAGATCCAGACAATAGTTAACATTTCAGCTGCAAAAACGTAGACACAAGTGGGTCAGGAGCAACACTCCGTGCAAAACTTCGGCATCCTGAAGGTTTTCTGTGACTGAGAAAAAAAAGTTAAATAATCATTTATTGTACCATCTGCAATATGCCAGACTATCCATTAAAGTACTAGAAGTATTTATACCTTCCTCCATAATCATACAATTCTGATGAAAATTTGATTGTAAGGAATGTAAAATTCTATAACAGACTCTAAGATGGTCAGAAACTAGTAGCTGATAGGTGACACGACTAAGATGATTTTGAATGCGCAAGAACCCTAAATAACCGTTATTTTTTTTCACTACACCATCCTGCACAGCTTTAACCACATTTTATTCACTTATTTAATTCAATGTAGAGCCTAATACTTCAGTAATGAATAAAATTGTTTATTGAGTTTAATCACTACATCTTTCTAGGTTAACATGCAGCACACTCCCACATGATGAGCTAACCATTGCTCTCAAAAACTGCCACCCTCTTTTATTTTCTTCATTGAACTACTTTTTATATAACCTCTTCTTTCATTCTCACTCCCCCACCCCTACCCCTCTACTCTGGACATTATTGTCTACTGTTCAAATCCAGGAGTATATCTGAAGAGCAAACTGAAACTTAGGTGCCAAAAAACAATTACCTAGAAAATGCAACAACAAACTTGCAATCAATAATATAGTGTTCTGCATCTACTACATCTGTATTTTTGGCCTTAACTTTCTATTTTTAAATGCAGTGGCAATTATATGAATATTCAACAGAATTCACAATGTAAAACCATTTATAAAATATATAATGTAATTATTCAAATCCTATTCGAATCATACTAATCTTAGAAACACATTCTCATGAAAACCAGCTTCCTCAAATCTTGCAATATAGAGGCTTTTTTACTGACTCCTAGAAACCTTACATGCTTCTATTTATACAACTCAGAAACAAACCCACTATACTCGTATACTTCAACTAAATGTAGCCACTCATTTTAATTCAAATATTTTCTTTCTCTGGTATTCCACTGAAATAATTACTTCTTTTCATGTGGAGATTGTGATATCCATTACATAACTATCATTCCAATGTATATAATGCTTATATTCATAAGATGCTCTTTCCATTAAATAGAAATCAGAAAATGCAATTCAGAAGGCTTTTTCCTCTAGATGTCTTCAAAGATAAAAATGAAAATGCCAATCTCTTTAATGTTTTCAGATTTATATATCCTGGAACTTAACTCTTAACAAACAAGGAATCCCTTTGCTACTAGTAGAATCGAAAACCATTCAATAAAGTGCATTCACTATCTTGGTCCTCATTACTTATACGTAATTACATTTTTATGAGACATGACCCCCAGATTCAATTCATGCAAAATATTTAAATATGTGCTTAGCACAAGGAATCAATAAACTTGAGCACCTAAGATGATGATGACCATGATTTTTATGATGCTGGGAATGACAATGACAGTAATTGTGATATATTGGCCCAGTGTATTAAATGTAATTTGTATTTTCTCATTTGATGTTATAATAATGAGTCCAATAGTACAAAATCTACCTGAATCAGTGTTTTTAAAACTAAACATCAGCAATCACAGCAAAGATTCTTTTTAAAATTTTCTGTAAATAAGTATTCTTTGCCGATGATGAAATAAATACAACTAATTATAAAAATAAACTGGGCAAAAATAATTCATGCTTACCTGTTTGGATTGAGGTTAAATATAATGCTAACCTTCACTGATTGAATTAAAAGATAGAGACAACAATAGAAAAAAGTGTTTTGGTTCTTTTTTTTTTTTAAGATTAGATAATTTGCTTTTTTTGAAACAGAGGTTAACCCCCTTCTAAAATATGCTCTGTGCTCATAACAAATGGTGCTCTTTAAGTAGGAGACATTCTTTACCCTTGGGATCAGCTTCTTTCCCAAGTCACTTTCTCATTGATTTAAACCATTCTGCCAGCCACTCAGGGAGTTTGGTACAACAGCCAAAAACACACATTTTGCCATACGGCTCCTTCTCTAAGTTTTCTACCTCTTTTTTTGTGATTATTAAAGAATATAGGATTAAAAATAATCAGAAATTTATAATTACACATGACTTATGATATATACACTAATATGTTTTAAAATGCAAATGTGTAGTGTCTTCAATTAGAGAGGAGTTTACTTCTCTGTCATTAAAAATTCAGAAGACGTAAGTCTAGGACTGTTGCAGCTATAATCTCATCTTCAACACGACTCACTCTTTCTTCTGCATATTCAAGTTAGCCAAGCAGGGCTCGTCATCTCCCAGACCACAGAAAGGCGTCGGGGAGCATGCCACAATCTATAATATAAAATCAATCAAAACGTAAAACTTTGCATTCTACACCAAACAATTAAGAAAGTGAAAGACAAGTCACAGACAGACAATATTTGTATATCATGTATTTTGTAAAAGATTTGTATGCAGAGTATGTAAAATCCTTTCAACTCAGTATCAAAAGTCAACCTCGTTTAGTATATGCAATAGATTTGAATAGATCTGACAACAAACAAGGTCACAAGCATACACACAAAAACTATCAAAATCACAGCTCGTTATAGAAAACCAAATTAAAGCCACAATGTAATTAATACACCTTCACACTCACCAGAATCACTATAATAAAAAAGACAGGCAATAACAAGAGTTGGGATGATGTAGTACAAAGAACATAACGAAAAAATACTTTTGTTAATCGATTTTTATTTCCAATTTATTATAAGCTGCATTCCTGAGTACTTCTACTCTCCTTTGGCATAAATTTCTCTGTATGTAAAATGTAATAATGCCCACTCTTATTAATTACGTCACAGCTCTATTATGAAAATACAGTCATGATCTGGGATCCAAAAAGTCTTGTTGGAAAATGCAAGAATGTTGGAGAAGGATGATTTGATGAAATCTAGTGTTTCATAGAATGAAGGCTACCATTTGAGCAATGATGTTTTAAAATTTAAACAATGTTACTGTAAATCATTTTATAACAATTTTCACATTTCCCTGTCTTCTTAACCCTTTGATTAGAGTGCACTCTGCCCTGGCTTCTCAAGATGTGCATAAACGAATGCCTGCTACTTTCCTGGACGTCCAGAGCCTACTGCTGTTTGTAGACGTGGAGCATAGTTGAATGTTATACTGAATCTCCATAGAGCACTTATTTTTTTATGTTTCTTTTCTCTTCTTGCTTCTCATCAATTGCATTTCTAACCTCTAGAAATGTTTTCTAATTAACTAATTTCATTTTTTTCTACTATTTTTCATTGTCATCTGTCATTGTACTATCATCATTTATGAACTACATTCCCAAGGAAAGGTGTTTTTTCCTCTAAGAAATGATTTCTCCATAGAGTCATTGCTAGGCCTAACTAGATACATAATTTTAATTAATGTTCACTACCAACCTGGTTTTCAAAAAGGCCATGGCAATCCTATACTAATGAATGGTGTGTTTTC